TTGCAACAATGATCTATATGGTCCCAGATTATATCAATAACGTCACAACCTCTACCCCGATATAACACGAATTCGGATATAATGCGGTAAAGCAGCGCTCTGGGGAGGGGGGGGGCGGGGCTGTGTGCTCCGGCGGATCAAAGCAAGTTCGATATAACGCGGTAAGATTTTTTTGGCTCCCAAGGACAATGTTATATCGGAGTAGAGGTGTATGTGATCATGTAATTAAATACTGTATCATAATACACAGGCACAAGGATGCTGAATTAATAGTGCCCAGGCAACCTTAATTCTGTTATTTCCTAACTTTTGATTGCTTGACTTTCCAACCTTAACATCCTTTAGTTTTGTATATGTAGTTGTATCTGAAATTAAGATACCAGAGTCCTAATTATTTTAGAAACCTATTAGTACTGTCTTTCTATGTGTCTCATGCGTTGTACTAAGATAAAAATATGGACTTTTAATAACTCTGTTAATACAGGTACAGCCTGACTGTTTGGACAGGAAGGCATGATGAGTACTCCATAGAAGACCTGCTCTACCTCAGAGAGAACTTTGATAAAAGTAGGGTTTATTATGATATTTTGGAACCACAAAACTCTGAATTCAGAAAGGCCATAGGAATAGAAGTATGAATATAAAGGAAATAGACACTGACACTATAAATAGTAAATGAAACTATGAATTCACACTACTGTGGCTCTTTTGGGTAATATTGATTGCTAATTTGGCTCATGAACAACTGAGGTCTGAGTATCGCTGGTATAGGTATACATGGCCCTCACTCAGTTCAGAGGACTGGACTAGATGCACTCTCAAGGTTCCTTCCTGATCTACATTTCTGTGATTTCTTCTACACACTCATCTCCACTAGTTTCCTGTGAAGCAGTGGGTTTATTTTAAGGGCTCATCTACACAAATGTACACCATAATAACTAAATCTATTGTAATTTACTTCTTTTGTTATTTCAGTGCAAGTCTGCATGTGGACACTCTTATTTTGGAATAAGAGCATTGAAATAGGACACTTATTCCTATGTTCACATGTTACCCCAAAATTTGGACCCGAGGCACCCAATAATGGCCTGCCTATAACTGTAAACAAATTGTCAATTTAGCCTGTCTTAATGGGTAACAGGAGGTGGCCTGCCCTAGAGGAATTGCCCAGGTTTTACCAGGGAGTTTGTCTCTGCCCCTCAGAGGTCTGCCCAGGACAGATTAGTTCTGTCAAACCGTGAGAGGACCCGGATACAGGCTTCCGCTCAAAGGATTGACGCTAAAGCAGTAATTCTTCAAAAACAAAGTAACATTTATTTAAAGGAAATATTCAGTTACAATACATTTAATAATCAAGAAAGAATGCATTGTGAAACATAACCCAGAGCATAGTACAGTTGCACTGCATTTAGAAATCATATAGGGAGGCAACACGACAGACTACATAAACTATATAGCTGATACAATGTTGCACAATACAATACACATAGACCCTTTATGCATATGTATAAAGCCTTAATGCAGTGCTACAATATAATACCAAACTTATTACAATGTAACATACAGAACCCTTTTACATATGTATAAAACTGCATTACAATATTACACATTAAAGAACATTACTAAATAACATTCTATGGGTTCTGATCAGGCAATCATAGAATGGGTGGGGTAAAATCCATTCAGACACAGACATTCAGTTTTATTTACAATCAGTCCCATGCATTCCTTATCATTAAGAAGGAATTATACTTTCTTTCTTTCTAAAATCCCTCTGCACCGTCTATGGTCCTTCTGCTCTGTCAAGGATTTCAGTGATATTCAGTCTGCTGCTGCTCCTCTGCTCTCCGTTCTCTGCTGCTGTCTTCTGCTCCGCTCTCCTGCTCACCCACACACCTACCCTGAAGCCTGTCAACTCTCTGCCTTGTATACTATTTTTGATCTTTTCTGATTGGTTGCTCTTTCTCAATACTAGTAATTAGCATAGTTCCTCTCTATGGGGTGATACCTATTCAGCCAATCAGCTTTACCTGTCATTTGAGCCAGACCTGGCTGAGAACCTCCTTCTTACCTGACTGACCCATCCCTTAATCTCACCCTGCTGAACTTTATTTCACCCCATTGGGGGAGGTGAATTTTACAATGTTTTCTCTCTTCTTTGCATATTGACAGCTGCATGGCTGACACCTCTCCTCGGTGCTGCTAATTTTCTTACACAGCATAGAGCAACTAAAAGCCTCTTGTATCAGTCCCCTCCTTGGTGGGTGATATACTTATTTATCAACCCACCACTTGTTTAAATAGTGAGTTCAGTGGATGTTTGGTCTTGTCCAGTATTGGCTCAAGGCTCTCCTGTGAGACCGAGCAGATACCTCTTCTTACTGGCACAATTCCTCACCATCCTTGAGTCTCACTAGGGTCACACTTTCCTGTGTGCCATTATAGTTTCTTTTAAGGCTTGTGGACTGTACATGCTTTAGCTGCTTAAATTTTTGTTTGACCCAGCACACCAGGATAATAAGCATAAATGTCATCATAATCTGAAATGCTAATACTATCACAACAGGCTGTAAAATTGTATTAAAGAATCCTGTTGCTCTAGGAGACCATCCCAAGAACACTTCCCACCTGTTATTTTTGGTATCACTTTTTATACACTCTATAGTGTGCTCAGTTTTCTTAGAGAGTGGTGAAGAGTAATCATAGCCTTTTGTGCATTTTCCTGAGCCCTTTGTTGTTGTCTTTGTAAGTCAGGATGATCCATTAATTGCTTAACTAAACTTATATTTATTCCCAAAGGTATTGGATCAACCTTTTTATATATCTGATACTGATCCCTAATTTCCTCATTACCAATTTCAGGTAGCATGAATTTGAAATTCCAACCAATCATCGAGGTGATATTACAACAACATTTGTTTTCATAAGGGTTATGAGTTACATTGAATATATGATTAACTTGAACAATTTACAACATCTTCTAACACATACACATTTATTTCCAATATATATAACGACGGATCCATTAAATGGGAAAGGATCTAGCTGATAATGGCATTTTCCCCTTTAGTCACTTAAACATACATCATATGGCTGGATTGTATCACTATTACAAATGTATCCAATTCCACATTCTTCCATACAGGCCTCAAGTTCCACAGTTTTCCATGTACGGTTTTGCCTTGTGGCCTATAGTGTTTGTTCTATTGGTTGCATTATACTATTATTAATATTTAACCCTAGCATTACAATAGGAGATATCCATTCTATTTGGGCATTGGACATTATGACTGTATGTAGTAATTTGATTCATTTGAGGATTATATGTGAAATTTATCATTTTCCACCAGGAATATAACTTTTATTCCGCCCTAGTGGCATATTTCCACATTATACTTCTTATTTCTAAAGGTAAAATTCCTCTCATCCCATCTCTTATTATGTCTTTCACCACATCATTAGTCCAAGTCTGTGCTTGTATGCAAGCCAGTGCCATGGATACATTGCTTTGTAATACCTCTACGATATGTAGTATGGCTAAATAATCAGCCTTTTGTAATTTTTCTGAGCCAGGGAATAAACTTGCTATTAGGTGATGGCGAGTGCTTATGTAATTTGAAGATGTTTTGACAAAGCTCCCAAGTGTTGTCCTACTGCATTTAATTTATTAGCCAATACTTCTACATCTATGCTATTCAACACTCCGAGTTCTGTACCTGCTCTTCCTAGAGCTGTATCTATTAAGCTTCTTTTTTTTCTATTAGTGGTGGCTTTTAATAAAAGTTGGATTTCTGTCCATTTTTTCCATCCCACAAACAGATTCAGTGTATTTAATACATTGTGGCTATATGGATGAAATGTTCATAGAGACTAAATCTATTATTACCTTTTTCAGGAAATAAGTGGGGTCTATTATTAATTGTGTTTTAACATCCTCTCTTACTATATAAAGACCAATGTTAATTGGTTTAGGTTTGGATATCCATACAATAGTAAAAGTATAATTGATCTGAGGGCCAGTAATTCTCCATGTTCCATTTCCACGACTTTTTGTTTTAATTACACTACCTTCATCCCAATAGACAAATAAAACTTGTCTTGTACCATTTCCCTTACATTCACTACCCCCTATTATTTGTCTATACCAGGGATTGGCAACCTTCAGCACGCCAAGGTAAGCACCCTGGCAGGCCGGGCCGGTTTCCTTACCTGCCGCGTCCGCAGGTTCGGCCGATCGCGGCTCCCACTGGCCACGGTTCGCCGCTCCAGGCCAATGGGGGCTGCAGGAAGCGGCGCGGGCTGAGGGATGTGCTGGCCGCCGCTTTCCACCGCCCCCATTGGCCTGGGACAGCAAACCGCGGCCAGTGGGAGCTGCAATCAGCCGAATCTGTGGACGCGGCAGGTAAACAAACTGGCCTGGCCCTGGCGGGCCGTGGGCAAAGGTTGCCGATCCCTGGTCTATACCAAGGTGCTTGCAGGCTCAATTGATTCCTAAATGCTACTTTTGCTCGTGTTTCACATTGAGTGCTTACTCTACTGACTCCTCCTTGGGGGTCAGTGACATTAAATAAAGTATCCTTCATTTTAACATTGTTGTGAGCCTATTTTAATAATTATTCTTTATCTTTTGTCCATTTGGGGGCATACCATGCTATGAAAGCACATGAAGGGCTTTTCCCTAAAATTTGTGTACAGTTATTTATTCCAGTGTAATTTCATACACAAATCCCTCCTCCTATGTACCATAGCATAGGTTTACCTTTCCCTTGGCCATCATTTATAATTGTCTTATTTTGCTGTGTCAATGACATATCGATTATATGTGCCCATGTTTCTCCCTTGTTTACCCAAATCCATTGACATTTTTGTCCACTTAATATTACAGAAATTTGGATAATTTTCCCTTTATCCCATGGAGTAGGTGGGTTTATCCATTGAGTATGGCCCTCTTTCATATTTAATATTTTGGTTTGATGTACTAAACTCCATTTCTTCTTATCTATATCCGAGGACCATTTGCACATCATTGTAATATTATTTTTCCCTTCTTTTGCCTGGATGCTATTTGTTAGTATTTTAATTACAAAAGGGATACTATTATCCTTTCTGGGGCTACCAAGAGACTATCATAACATGCGAGTATTTCAGACTTGTCTATTAGTGCACATTGGCATTGTCCGGTTCTTACTGCCTTTCCCCGTATTGCACCTTTTCCTTCTATAGCTGCCCAGTCACATTTTGTTGACTCTGATGAGGGATGGTCATGGGAACCTAAGGTTCCCTTGCTTAGAGGGGCAAATATAATAAAACACTTATGAATATTGTCTGCAATAAGCGTTTTGCCTGAGTGATTTTGTGCAATAACATTTATAGCCCTTATAGGTCCCATTAAGATTTTTATTATTCTGAAGTTTTGCACTTATTTCTGGAATTGTAAACAACCCTCCCACCCCACACACATTACTATTGGCAGTAGCCATGGGCGGCAGGTGAAGCTTCCACTCAGGGAGGTTATCTCCCAGTCCTCCTCCTCCTGCCTGCGGCCCCAGCCACGCTCCACCCTCACTCCGCCCCAGGCCCTGCCCCTCCCCAGTTGCCTCATGTCTCCCACTTTCCCTGCTCACTCCCCACCTAGCAAGCAGGGGGGACTGAGCAGGGAAAGGGGGACTGGACGAGGGGAGGGGGGAGGAGGAGTGGAGAGGATGAACCTGGTGAGCAGCGACTGAGGCTGGGGAGGGGGAGGAAACCCATGCAGCAAGCAGGGAGGGGGCTAAGTGGGACTGCGGCGAGCGGCAGGGGAGCTGAATGGGGCGGGGGGGGGAGGGGAGGGGAGGAACCTGGGGAGCAGTGGCTGGGGTGGAGAGGAGGAAACCCACACAGCAAGTGGGGGCGGGGGGCTGAGAGGGGAACTGTGGCGAGCGGCGGGAGGCCGAGCAGGGAGAGGGAAGAGGAGTGGAGAAGAGGAACTGGCAAGGCAAGTGGCTGTGCAACGAGAACAAGTGGGGGAGGAGAGTGGGGCCTGGACATGGGGATGGGGCCAAGTGGGGAGGGAGCCGAGCGGGGAAGAGAGGAGGAACTGGTAACGGCAAGCGGCAGTGGGGCTCTCAGGAGAGGGAGTTGGAGATGGAGTGCTGGAGACTGGAGCAGTGGCAGCTGAAGAGAATGCTGAGCTTTATCTTTTATATGCCCCATGCAGGTTCCGGGGTGGCTGAGGAGGCTGTACCTGCTACTCAGCTTCCTGGGTTCATTAGTAATTTCTCTGGGGAGTCCAATGGACCCATGCAGCTAAATAGCAGATACAGCCTCCTCAGCTGCCCTGAAACCTGCAGAGAGTATAATAAATAAGAAAAAAACTTGCGGCAGAACACAGAATCCCGCTTCAAGCAGGGAGGGGGAAAGGTGGGGCCAGCATGGCCCAGGTATTTGGCAGCAGCGGCGGCCTATTATACCCGCCACCCATGGCAATAGCCATTTGATTGAACTTGGTCCATTGAATTGTCGTTTTTGATTTCTTTGCATCCAAATTCGCACACTAGCAGAATCCAGCAGTAGCCACAAATACCCAGAAGAGCCAGGATGAATAGAACTGCATCTTCCACCATTTGGCTTTTCTTGTCTGTAAGATAGGAATAACAAAAGACCCTTTTTCCTTTATAAAAGTATGTATTATTTAATTAAACATTAACTTTATGAAAATATATGTAACATATACATACAATACAATTTATTCTGTTTTACCTATCTATAACTCTACTATTTTTAACTATTATTAAACTATTACTAATACATATACTAACCAACTATTTTAATACAATAATACTATGACTACCTATTTTAACAACAATTTTTTCCTGTTAATTGGTATTCTAGAATATTCTATTCCCCACATTGATCAGACAATCCAACATTCCTATAATATCCAACCTGATTATTGCATATGACCCTTCCCTCCCGGTCCATCAGGCAAAGCTAGACATTATTCAATTGTTGGAATCCTACATTAATTGATATTGGTCTGGTTAGGGATATTGGGGTCTGTCCTCCTAATGCTCTCATAACCATATATAAGAACATAAGAATGGCCATACTGGGTCAGACCAAAGGTCCATCTAGCC